ACATGCGGATAGATACAACGTTATCCGGATATATGAGTGCAAGAGGTTCTCCAATAGAAACCTGTCAAAATAGATACAGCTTTCTGCATATAAAATTAGGAAATTTATAGATTGCTATAGGTGAATTTAGATGGAATCCAATATATTTTTGGCCACGAAATCGAAGGGTATAAGGTTTCAGGCTCTATAAGAATTACAGTTGAATTCAGCATAAAAATCCACGTCTGTATGTGCAATTTCATCACCCAACGTTGGGCAAAACATGAATTTCGTTGAAAAAACCCCTCGATGGTCTCGTGGACTGTAAGTAACAATATTGCTTCTGGTCTTGTGTGTGAAATCAACTCATCCCACTGCAAATTTAATGAGGGTACAACGCTTGCGAATTTTTCCCTGTTCACTGTACCCCCCGGCCCACATCGATTATTTGACAAAGCATGTGGAAGAGCTCGAGGTCACGGGCCTCGTCTACCGAAACAACCGGGCGACATGTGCGGCAGCGGCCCGAACCGTCGCCAAGTAGACGCCGGGCGAGTATCGTATGACGATTGATTCTCGCCCAATCAACTCATGGACTGTCCCCATGCCGTGGCCGATGTCGAATTTGAATGCCGCCATAGCAACTTTGGTCGGCACAAACGCGTACTTCAAAATGGACTGGTTCAAGGGATACATTTATTGGCAGCTGCCGCTGCACCCATCTTGCCAGATGCGGTACTCGTTTATGACCCCGTTTGGCGTCTACATGCCGACATGAATATCCGGATAGGCCAGACGGACCATGTGGTCTATTGCCAGCCCGTCGTCAATGATCTGTTCGGCGAATTACTTTTCGCCGTGGTTTTGAGTTGTCTCGACTACATTTTGGGATATACGACAGCATCGACAAGCTGCTGGCGCTGTTGAACAAGGGCCTAGGAATTTACGAAACGTTCCGCCTCAAGCTGCATCAGTCGAAATGCGTTTCCGCAAGGAATCAAGGTGGTGCGGAAAGCGATTTCCGCAGATGACGTGTCTCACTCCCCAGATTGACTGCAAGGCCAATGTGCGTTGGAGACGCCAACGTCTGGTGCAGACCTGCAACAGTTTGTCTGCGCGACGAATTGGATGCGCAGTTCCGTCCCAAGTAATGAGGAACTGATCGATCCGCTGCGACGAATTCTGATGGTTGCGGCGAAAACCTCTGGCGGATCGAAGTAGGTAGCACTAACGCGCATCAAGCTGGCCTCCGTTGGGTGGGCGGCCGAACGCGATGAGTGCTTTGCAGCAGTCAAGAAAACGCTGCAACAATTGGTGCCGTTGTCTCCATCGGAAAGCAAAATTATTCGACTTTACACCGATGCGAGCGAGACGCATTGAGGTGCGGCATGCACCCAATGCCGCCTGAAGATTTGGGACTTCCAGTCGAAGAACAACGGCACGATCCGTTGGCGTTTCTGAGCGATGGATTCGGCGGAGTGAGCGCTCGTTGGCCGACGGTGGAGAAGGAGGCGTTTGCGATTGTTGAGCCGTGCAAACGGCTAGATTATCTGCTGCTCCAGCTGCAAGAATTCCGTCTTTTACGGACCACAGAAACCTCCTGTACATTTTTTACCCGCTGGATTACATCAGCAAAATGAACCGCTGTCAAGACCACAAGTTACAGCGGTGGGCCACGGTTATGGCAACATTTCCCAACACACTCGAGCATGTGGCGGGAGAAGCCAACGTTTGGACTGACCTGCTCAGTCATTAGGGTGCAGCCCCGTTGGGTGTGCAAGTTTCAGGGATGCAGTAACTCGTCGTTGTGTCGCCTTTACAAGACGGGGATTTCGCCTGGCCGAAGGCGGCGAATATTTTAAAAGTCCAGAAAGCGACCATGGAAGACGCTGGTGAAGTTCCCGTACAAGACGGCGTGACGTGGAGCGACAGTGATGGATACTTCCCGACCGGTGAAGGGAAAATAATGCATCCCGCAAGAATCTGTCGATCTACAGCAATGTGCATGCATCTTTGCACATCAAGGCGCAGCGTGACTTCGTGAAGTGAACATGACAGCAGCACAAGGCATTGTCGCCAAACCTTCAATGCGACTAATTTGAAACTGCTGGTAAAAATTAGTGTTCTATTTTCGGTACTTCCAGCAAATATTATTCGGCATGTCCAGTGCATCTTGAGTAACGGATGAGCGCTAATAGCAGTACAAGTGACTATTTGCCATTAATTGTCATGAACCAACGTTGAGCGGGTGGTGTGAATCAGCCTAGCAGCCCTGAAGGCTCGTATGTGTCGTGGTCAAGTAGGGACATCTCGCCAGCACCACCAAGTGACTGCGAGTCCACGTCGAGTTCACCACCCACGTCCCCCGAGAGTTTCGGCAACCAAATCCCTCCTGATTGGAAGTCACATTGGACGGCCGTGGATGTGTTTTCATCGTTTGGTGAGGCGAAGAGATTTTGCATCACAGGCCATTCCGCTACAAGCACACTCGAACTTTCAAATCCGGCTCTACCAAGCATATGTACGTATATATTTGCACTGGTCATATGCGTTGCCGCCGTCAATTCAAATCGTGGTGCACTTCGGCGCCGAGTCGCAGTTGCTGGATAGCAACATCCAGCACAGCCTGGACCCCTCCTCTGTCTGCACCCAGTACGGTATACACCCAACACTACTGCTGGAGATCGATGAATGCGTTCGACATGGTCTCAAACCAAAAAACCTATTGATATGTCAAGTCAATATTCTTGGTTAACAAAAGGTGTTGTGGTTCAAAAAATGTGGCGTGCATGTCTGCGGTGACTTGTATGCATTCAAGTCGATGTCATCCTCAATAAAATAGGTGGATTGGTACACACAACATGCACAAAATTCAGCCTACCTGGCGCTTCTTCCCACGTTGCGACAACTGAAGAATCGCAAGCAGCATCTAGTCCGAAAGCGCGGCGGAGGATGGGAAATAAAGAACTTGACCGGACTTGCCGACTGGGTGGCGGCGGACACATGCAATACGTCAAGCGATTTTTTGCCCGTGAGGGGAGCGCTGTGACTTACGACAACTTCTGCGAACAAGACGACGAATACAGGTTCATTTACTATACAGTTTGAACTTGTAACAACAATATGTGCACTAGAAATGGACTCATAGTCTTGGACAACTTCGAAGGTAGTTTCGATGATGCTGGGGAAGTAAAGTCCACTGTCGGCATTATCGTATCCTCCCGCCAAAACATGTGGAACGCAGCTCGTTCATACGATCGCCAGATGGAGGATCTTTCGATGTTTACGGACGGCACGTACAAGTTGCACTTTGGTATAATGATATCTATATCTAAAAAATCTTAAAATTTAACGACGATACTAGGTGGGTGGACTCTGATCGATCTGGGGTCAGTCTGCACAAAGTATTCTGACGGCCACTTTCGCCAGAGGTTTATTCCATGGACATACATGTTTGTTCTCACTGAGTGCGAAAAAGCGTACTGGAAGCTCTTTGATATGACAGCAAAGTCATTGCAATCGTTCTTCGGATTTACCCTCCTTCCAAAGGTTCGGGCACTGCATAATAGTCCTTAGCTAATGTGGGAACAGGTGCGCTGTATCGATCACGTCACATACATAGCGACAGCACTTCGACGGAAGTGGTCCAAAGTCCACGTTACAACGTGCTACGTGCATATGAAGCGGAACGTACACCGCCATCAAAACCATCTGTTGACCCGGCCAACTATATCAAAGTCAAGGCCGACATCCACAAGATGTGGTGTGCACGTACGTGGCCGCAATTCCAGCAGATTGCACGTATAGTGCTCTTGGAATGGCAAGTTGTCCTTGGCGAAGGCCATATCGCCGATTGGTTCCACGAAACGTATTTGATTCCACCATAGGAATCCTGGTTTGTGACAGCTTCTGGCGTTGCTGGTGTGACGTCGCATCAACAGCCCATTGAAAGTCACCACAAGAGTATCAAACAGATCTGTGCCCATGATCTACATGCTGTGACGTCAGTGGTGCTGAATCATACGCTTCCTCGAATCTCGTTGCCGCCGCGATGTCGTTCGAAAGTGAGCCAACGCAATGGGACGTTGCTTCGTTTAATACCGACACCCTCGACAAAGCCTTGCTCTTAACTCGACCCTTAAACCACAAAGTTCTCGATGCTGGGCGCGTAGTGTTCAACGCGTCAGCGTTTTTGGGATGCAGAATCACACCAAAACGATTGTCTACATACGTGCTTTACTGATATTTCCTGTCTCACGAAAAAATTCCAGATTTTTAGAGTCCCTCGACGAGTTCAAAGGTCCCAGCTGCATTGGTGCTGAAATTGTTGAGATGCATTCCTATGGCGAAATATTTCAGTAGCCAGTCAGAATCATCCGCTCCCTTTCGTCATTTCTATTCTGCACTTTCTCTTACATTTCTTACGTTTTGTCAACCGCGACCATGCACGGACCAGAAAGTCTGGAATTCACCAGAACGTAGCTTAGTAACCAGACTTAATTCGTTCACTTTCCATTTTACCTTCAAGAGGTTACGAGCCCAACAACTCTGTGGCCAACCGATTCACATCGACTGCTCCCCTTCTGTTTCTGCCTTCGTCGTCGCCGCCTGCATCTGCCGCAGCCGTCCAAGCCGCAGCAGTTCAAGACAAACCGTCAGCACAACACTCGACGACACCTTACTCCTTTTGCGAGCCAAGGGATAGTACTTCCGGGGAAGAATCGTAAGTGCCTTTTCGGTTGGCTACAAACTCCTAGTTGAGTTAGCCGTTGCATGAAGATCCCTGCCAAGTCCGTCATTTCCAAGACCGACGTCAACAAGCTCCGCAAGAAGCGTCAAGTCAAGGCCAAGAAGACCGCGATTTTGCGCAAGAACTTTCGTCGTCTCAACGAGTCCAGCACCGCCGACAAAGTCCAGCAAGACCTTCTCGACGCAGTTTCAAGAGTCCAGCGAATCACCAAGCACTTCCAAGCGACTATCCTCAAGGAGTTCGGTACCAGCGACATACAAGTAGTTACGCGCACCAACCCAACCTTTCGTTTGATCGACTCTTTCACTTCCGAAGTTTCGACCCTCATCTCCAAGTCAATTCCCGAAACGATCGACGACATCGCAAAGGAAAAACTTCTCCCAATCATCAAGTCTCGAGGTTATAACTAAGTCTCAAGTATCTCTTTTCTCCCAAACTCGTTCGAAATTTTGTAAACATGGATATGAAGAACTACATCCACGTTTTCAATGGAAAGTCATACAACGAATGGGAATGCCGACTATTTGCATACCTTGAACTCAAAGAAGTCTTCGATGTTGTTAATGGAACTATAACATCCGAGAATGAAGACTACACGTCAAAGAATCGTCACGCGCGCGCAATCATCCTTGCTGCCCTTGACAATCATCATGTTCGCATGGTTTCCAAGATTCCATCTGCCAAATCCATGATGGATATACTCAAGGAACGCTATGGCCCGAAGACGTTTTTGGGTGGATCCCATCTCTTACAAGATCTAATCCAAATTCGAATTCAACCGACCGAAAACGCTCGATCGTACTGCAACCGCTTCAAAATCCACGTCGACGAAGTACTGGATTCCGGCATGAGTATGAACGCTGGTCTTCAAGTCCATCTATTCTTGAACAGCCTGGACATCGCTTTGACTCGTTTATTCAGTTTCAAACGCATGTTATCCAACAAGGCGAGGAAATCACCGATGCCACGCTCCAAAAGCTCTTTACTGCTATCATGCAGAAGGAGATTCGAAGCACTTCCTTCAACAACGATGCTGCTTTGTACACGAATTCCCGCCGCCGTCCTCAACGTCAACAACGCACCAACGAATCCAATGCACAAGTGACTTGCACGTACTGTCAAAATAACCACACTGAGGATGTATGCCGCAAAAAGCGCGCCGACTCAAACAATTCCAATCGTCGCGATTTCTCGAACCAAGCTTCGCAATCAAATCCTCCACGCAGTGGCGCTCCTCAATCCACCCGCGGCAATAACGACCGTACTGAGAATGAAAATCCTCGACAACGCAACGTGCGCATGTACACGACGCAACAATCTCCCGTGAGCATGATCATCTCCGACATGGATTTTGCACTTCAGATTGTCGCATCCATCCCAAACCCTGCATGGACCCTCGACTCCGGCGCTTCCGACCATTACTGCAGCAACAGCGAACGGTTCGACGACTTACAGCCGCATCACGGCACAGTCCAAGCTGCCAACGGTGGTACAATGTCAATTGAAGAACGAGGAACAGTTATTCTCGAGATGAACATACCTTCCGGGACAATTCCTGCTACGTTACGCGATGTTCACTACATCCCTGACATCCAGTTCAACCTGTTCTCACTCTCTCGTGTGACCAACTTTGGATTTACCGTCGAGTTCTCCGAAGAACGCTGTCAAATCATACGGGACAATGTCGTTTTTGCTCAAGGCCACAAGCGAGGTAGTCTATTTTTCTTGGATATTGCGAAAACTTTATCGAATACTCCAAACGCATCTGCCGACGACGCTTCCGACAATAAATAAGCACTGGCTGCAAAAGTCGACGCTGATACGTGGCATGCACGACTCGGTCGCATCAGTCTCCAAAACACGGTGAAACACAGAAGTACACTACTGGCATCGATATCGCGAATTGCAAGCACGGATTCTGCTCTAGTTGCCTAGCTGGCAAGCAATGCCGCCTTCCTTTCCCTCTACGGTCATTGACTATGAGTTCTGCACCGATTGATCTGGTTTATTCCGATATATGTGGATCAAAGCAGCAATCATCGTTGAGTGGACACACGCGCTACTTCATCACCTTTACGGACGATTTTTCCCGTTACGGATATGTCTTCTTCCTGAAGGATAAGTCCGATGCGTTTCAAGTTTTCAAGGACTTCAACGCGTATTTGCAATGGCCCATTCCCCGAGCTCATTCGCCAGAACCGACTCGTACACAACAATCGGAGCAAGCCTCATCTCAAGACACTCCATTGAATTCCAGCATCTATGATCCAGTGCCATTTTCCACGTGTACGGCATCCACTCCTCCTGCTCCGAGTGAAGAACTTGACCATGCTGCTCATTCGCCTGAAGCCATCGCTGATGATATGAACATACACGAATACCACGATGAGCATTCCGACTTTGTATCCGCACCAGCCGACTTTTCTGTCGATATGGATACATCGACTCTTCTCGATACACAAGACCGCCGCAGACCGCGTGAAGTCTACATTACTGATGACGACGACGAAGAGGATTCACCAAACACATTGAAACGTCAACGTATTCTTATGGCCTTGGCACTCCAATCTACTGGACTACCCAACACGATCCGTCAAGCTCACACTTCTCATGAGCGTGATCAATGGATTCAAGCCACCAACACGGAATACAACTCCCTTCTCTCTCATGGGACTTGGACATTGTGTGAACTCCCTGATGATCGCAAAGCCATTGGTTGCCGATGGTTATTCTCGAAGAAATACTCTGTCGATGGTTCTTTGTCGCGCTACAAAGCTCGCCTTGTTGCTCAGGGCTTTACCCAAATCGAAGGAATCGACTATACTGACATTTTTGCACCTGTCATTCGAACCTCAAGCATTCGCGTTCCCCTATCTTTTGCTGCGTTATGCTCCTTCAAGGTTCACCACATGGATGTTCAAACTGCTTTCCTCAATGGCGACCTCCAAGAAACGCTATACATGCGCCAGCCTCCGGGATACATCAAACCTGGTGAAGAACATCTCGTATGCCGCTTACACAAAAGCATCTATGGCCTAAAGCAATCCTCTCGCGAGTGGAATCATGCACTTGATACCTACCTGCAGTCTCGCAAGTTCATCCAACTCAAAACGGACCCATGCATCTATTTTCAACAATTATCCCATGGTTTGGTTGTGGTGGGAGTTTATGTTGATGATTTCATCATCATGTCGAAGAACACAACTTTACTCGACAAAACCAAGCGTGAAATTTCCAATCAATTTACGATGAAAGACCTTGGTCCCCTTACGTTTGCCTCGGCATTGAAGACAACCAGCTCCAAGATGGCTCACTCTATCTCAATCAATCCAAGTACGTCAACGACATCTTAGCCAAACATGGACTCTCCGATTGCAATCCCATTTCGACACCTCAAGATTGCAACAACACACCTACTTCTCCCAAGACAGATTCTATTTCGCTGCCTTATCGCACTGTGGTGGGCGAACTGCTCTATCTTTCAACAACTTCAAGACTCTCGAATACTGGCATTATCACGTCGCAACCACTTTATAAGGCACGCTTCGTCCCTGGCCTTGCCGAGGTAATTGTGGTGGCCGCGAGGGACGTCGGTAAAGTTGAAAAAACTCGTCACTCTGTAACAGAAGTGGCACATCGGGCGAGACTTGAGAGCACTTGCCACTCAACAACGCGTTGTTGAGATTTGTTGAATTATCAGCAAAGCACCGTCGGTGCTGTCGTTTGAATGAGTGACCACCGTCATCTCGCAATAGTATGCATAGATTTCGCCATGGAAGGGCCACATGATCCATTCGTTCTCGTGATGAGAATGACTCGATCGGGACGGCGATTCCCCAACTGCGGCTGCGAGTGGAAGTTCACAAAGCCATGGTAACCAAGTACCGATGCTGGAGATGCCTCCCCCCTACGTTGCCTTTGTTTCGTCTAATCACACACGAGGCCGGCAAAAAGCCATTCGTTTCGAAGCCGAGAATCCGACTCGAGCAGCTGATCATGACTGCATTCCATCCGTTCGAGAGACTTAACTCCTACGACGGCGACACACAAACGAGCATGCACGCAGGCTGCAAAGTTTAACCAATCACTTGCCGTACCACAAATAGCCCTTGGTTAAGGCCGAGGCTTGGCAGTCGTTCTTGCTGATGCTTTCGAAGCATTGGTCAGCGGCCGGATCGTAACACACGTCGCACGTGCCACAGCCAAGACTTAAGGTGGGCTTGGTAGTAGGAGTAGGACTGTCACCTCACCACACCGTGCCAAACTTAGCACTGTGAAAGTCGCAGGCATCCTTGGTATACTCGGCAGCCAACACCTTGTGCATCAAATATGGGACGAAAAATCTCATATTTAACACTTGAAATACGATGTACTTTTCAGTGGGTGTCAAATGTTTTCATACGATGGACATTTTTTTCAGTGTCTCATTTCGACAGCAGAAATTTGCATTAGTGTGGAGAAATCTGAGCTTGAGGTAGCTAGCAATGACTAAGGAAGTTTGAATATTGTCTGGCATGATTGGCGCAATAATCGTCGTGAAAAATTCACTCAAGCATCGATACCCCAAATTATCCATGTCAAACGTTTTCATACGATTTTACAAAAATTGGCGCCAAACATTGAAGACATGCCCGATTTAATCGCGGTAAATCACAACTTGTTTCGCGCTAAAGACTCCATTGCTTCGATGTGTGCTGTAGTGGCGAATTCACCTGATGAACGTTCTAATCCTGGAAAGAAGCACCACTCACATGAATTGCGAGATCTTGTTGTTACAAGCCACATTGATGTGCTGAGCCTTGGAAATATTGCAAAAAATTTGGGCCTCAGTAAGGCAACCGTTCAGTCGATGATTAAAGGTTACCAAACCTATGGAACAACTGCAACTCGACCTCGCTCTGGTCGCCCACGTGTTACCACAGAACACGAGGTCCGCACGGTTCAACAAAATCGACGTATAAGTGCCGACTCTTTGCGCGAAACGTTTCAAGTCTTTCACGAAAAAGACGTTTCGAACTCTACAATACACCGGCGTTTTTAGGAAAAAGGCTTTCGTGGGCGTGTGGCTCGTAACAAGCCGTTTCTTTCAAAAAGGAAAAAAGCGGTTGGCATTCGCTTGGAGGTACAAAATCTTCACAATTGACGACTGGAAACGAGTTGTTTGGACTGACGAGAGTCCATTTTACTTAACTGGATCAAATGGGCGTGTGTTTTTTGGCGCCGACCCGGGGAAGAGTTCTCCGACGAGTGCCTTGTGTCCTCGTTCAAAAGTGGCCACCAAAGTATAATAGTGTAGGGAGGTATTGGCTGAAGAGGCACTGGTTCATTGGTGACATTAGTAGGAAAAGTTAATTAGACCGTGTATTTGACCTTCTGGAAGAGCAATTGACCGAAAATTTTGTTCGGTTGGACCTGCCCATCAACTTTGACTTCCAACAAGTCAACGCGCCATTTCGCACTGCCAAGAAGATCGACGCATTTTTCAACGAAAATGCTATTGAAAAGATGGACCACCCCCCTCGAAGTCCTGATCTGACCCCATCGAGCATGTATGGGAGCATATTAAGCGGAGGATTCGTTCAAATCCTCCATCTTCGCTTGATGGCTTGCGTGATCGTGTGCAGGATGGGACAACGAACCCGCCGACTACATTCAAACGTTGATCCTAGCATGCCCAAGCGTTTGAGCATGGTGATTGCCAACAAGGGTGGTGCAACCAGTACTAATCTTTGAATAATACAAACTATATGGTCGATTTCGTGGAACCGCATGAAAACTTTTGACTAATTATTTTAATGATGGTGAATTTTAAATCGTCACATCTACTACTTCCTCCGTTCCAGTACAATTTCATGACTTTACGTCAACAACCTCAACTCGGGCTAGAGAGCGCATTAAGACACCCAAAATGGCGGAAAAGATAGCCAATAACAAGCTCTACAGTAAGCTATTTTCATAACTATTTAATTCCCTATAACACCCGAGGTATAGACTGGCTACGGTTGGCTATAAATAAAAAATTCTTTGAAACTCGTAACTTCGTCAATTCTTACCTTATCATTTTCCCTTCAAACCAAGCGCAAACGCTTTGCCTTAGTGCGTAGATATTGCTTGCACCATTCAAAAGCGCAAAAAACGTCCTTGAAGGCTCGCTTTGGAAAAACAGCGCCCCACGACCGATCGTAACCTTACCATCAACGGCTGCAGCTCCAAACAGAAGGCCGTGGTGAGATGAAGGAGCTCATGCGCACCTTTAACGTCAGCCAGGCAACAATCTCTCGGTTCTGGACACGAGGGTGCACGTCCGCTGCTCTTACCGGGTGTGCCACGGTTGCTTCGAAGATGGCCGGACGGATTGCAGGCACACACAAGTACTCAGACGAAGGAGCTCGCGACATTATTTCGAGTGTCCCCCACCACCTTCGGTGCAACTTTCGCTCATTGGCGTCGGCAACGGGCTTCCCGAAGACAACTCTTTGGCGTCTCCTGAAAGCTAAGGAGCTTCGTCGAACAACGAGTCGGCTCAAGCCTATGTTGACGGCCGATCATCGCCTTATACGAAACACCTTTGCCAAGTAAATCGTGCGTGCCGGTCAGCTTGGCACTCGCATTGTTCATATCGACGAGAAGTGGATTTACCTCGCACAAGTCAACCGTCGATTCTATCTGTGGCACGACGAGGCCGTTCCACAACGTAAAACCATGTCAAAACGGCAAATCACGAAGGTCATGTTCTTGTGTGCTGTTGCTCGTCCTCGACATGACAGCAGACGTCATTTAATGTAGGATGGCAAGGTTAGTCTATGGCCATTCGTTGAGACCAAGTTGGCGAAGCGGAAGTGCAAGAATCGAGACCGCGGCTCTCATGTGACTGTTCCTATGAGCGTGACCAAGCCCATTTACCGCAACTACCTGATTGATAAGGTGTTTCCGGCAATCCAAGCCAAAGGCCTGATCGTCGTTGAAGACCCATTTCTGTGCAACAAGACAATGCAAAACCGCACGTGGCGGTGGATGACGCTGCCGTGAAGACGGCGGGTTAGTTGAACGGTTGGAACATCCAGCTCACGGCCCAGCGAGCGCAAAGTCCGGACTTCGATGTTCTTGACCTTGGATTCTTTAATGCCATCCAGTGCTTGCAGCATCCGACTACTGCTCGATCAATCGATGACCTCATTCAGTGCGTTGAAAGAGCGTTCAAAAATCTGAAGTGGGCCATGTGGAGAAGACCTTCATGACTTTACAGAAGGTTTTGGAGGAGTCAATGAAGATGGACAGCGACAAATTGTACAAGCTACAGCAATTGGACATTCAACTGAAGGCGGGTCATCAAGAGTTGCGGCCGTCATGCGATGAAGAAATCCTTATCGCTATGATCTGATGGAGAGACGATTGCAGGACGAGCAAAGAATCCACGAAATTGTAGGTTTAAATGGTAGTGGGCTTCGTGTCTCGGGATCTGAGGCTCTTGACAGCATTGATGGGCTCGTGGAACCAATGAATGATGTTGCAGTAGTGTAGCGCATCATGAAACTGTTCGTCGTATATTGTTGAGCTTGAATAAAAATATATGGAACACCCCGAAATGTCCTGAATTTGGATACAAACTTCTAGATGTAGAATGCTGCAAAAAGTCGTGCAAATGTTCTGGAGGACGTACAATTCTGCACACAACGTGCCAAGGCAACTCCATAGCACATCTAGAATGGCGATGAGGCAGTTTACGATTGTCCATTGTGAAATCGACCGAGTCAATCAAAAGATATACGACTCACAAGATCATAATCTGAACCGTGTGAAATCTTTTTGGCACTCACTGTACATCGTCGATGGACACGTCTTTTCACCCCCGAAAGAAGTACGACAGCCCTGTTAGGGACGCAATCGAAATGCCTTTGTTGAATATCCCTGCTCATGTCCTAAATGGTAAACGAATCAATAATCAATCTTCATCTATTCGGTGACGGCGGGTGTTGCCTGGGGCTTTGCTGCGATGCACGGCAGGCGGACGACCTGATGAAAAAGGACCTTCGCGGCAATC